AGTGCTTCTCCTGGTCTCCCATGGGGTGCAGGGCCCAAGCACTTGGGCCATCCTCCACTGCACTCCCGGGCCACAGCAGAGAGCTGGCCTGGAAGAGGGGCAACCGGGACAGAATCCGGCGCCCCGTCCGGGACTAGAACCTGGTGTGCCGGTGCAACAAGGCGGAGGATTAGCCTAGTGAGCCGCGGCGCCGGCCTCTCACTTATTCTTTTACGAAGAGAGGTGGGGGGCTGTGTTCCCTCCCCTTGAGCCTGGGTGGAGCTTTGCAGCTGTCTGAACCAACACAGCGTGGCAGAGGGGATGTCATGAGTGCTGAGACCAGGTCAGAAGGGGCCATGTGGCATTTAAACAGGCTTGCTGGCGGGCTCCCGCCATCACATGGAGGCGAGGTGCTCTGGCCACCTGCCCAGGCCCGACTCTCAGCGCACAGGCAGCATCAGTCAGCAGGCACAGATGCCTTAGAGACTCCCAGCTCAAGCCCGGACTCTGGATCAGAAAGCGGCAGACCCTGTGTGTGCTCAAGGAGTTCCTGACCCAGGAACAAGTGAGAGATGATAAATGGCTGCCATCATTTTAAGCCACTAAGCTCTTTTAAAAGATTTATTTATGGGGCCGGCGCTGTGGCGCAGTGGGTAAAACCTCCACCTGCAGTGCCGGCATCCCACAAGGGTGCCAGTTTCAGTCCCAGCTGCTCCACTTCCTATCCAGCTCTCTGCTATGGCCTAGGAAAGCAGTAGAAGATGGCCCAAGTCCTTGGGCCCCTGCACCTGCGTGGTAGACCCAGAAGAAGCTCCTGGCTCCTGACTTCAGATTGGCAGAGCTCCGGCCGCTGTGGCCAACTGGAGAGTGAACCAATGGATGGAAGACCTCTCTCTCTCTCTCTCCCTCTCTCTCTCTCTCTCCCTCTCTCTCTCTCTTTCTCTCTCTCTCTCTGCCTCTCCTCTCTTTGTGTAACTCTGAATTTCAAATAAATAAATAAATCTTTTTTAAAAGATATTTATTTGAAATATTTATTTGAAAGAGCAACAGAGAGAGGACACACACACACACACAGCGAATTTTCTATCCTCTAGTTCACTCCCCAAATGGCCAGGGCTGGGTCAGGCTACAGCCAGGAGCCTGGAACTCCCACATAGTGTGGGAGTCAAGTACCTGAGCCATCTTCCACTGCCTTCCCAGGTGCATTAACAGGGAGCTGGATCAGAATTGGAGCAGCCAGGACTCGAACTGGCGCTCTGATATGGGATGCCGACACCACAGGCAGCGGCTTTACCTGCTGCACCAGGACAACGGCTCCAAGGCACTAAGCCACAGGTAACAGCTACGAACGAGTACGTACCAGATGGCTTCTTGAGTAAGTCTCTCCTGCACTTCTCCCTGTACTGAGCCCACTTCCGAGTCGTCTCCTCAAGGAGAGATCCTGTGACCTGAGCAGACAAAACCACAACCACCTCCCGTTAGCTGCAAACACCACAATTCTCAAACTTCCCCACAGATGGGCCCACGACAGCTTGCAGTGCAGACACAAACAGAATTTCTGTGGCATCGGATTGTCTATCCTAAAACACACAGGAATTCCACATGACTCCAGTCTACTCATACTGGTTTTAATGCAAACACAAACAGTTTTTAAAACTCTTTCAAAGAGCTTGACACTCCAAGAGGACACAATACACTTGGGCTACAGCTTCACATGTTCCCATACAGATACACAGCTGCCCGCTCCTAGGACTACTGGACCCCAGGGACTCTGAAACACGTCACAGAGAAGTCAGGAGGCTGCAGGGGCCCGCACTGCCCAGCTGCCTGTGCATGCAGGCCCAATGGCCCCGAGTGGACAGGTGCTGTGCCCAGGCCTTGGGAATCTATTGCCTTGTGACATCGCCCTCCCCATCCCACGGATCCTCCTCTTGGTGGCTTTCTAGGTAAGTGAGCTGTCCCACCGGGGACCAGTGCCCCTTCTTTTGTCTTTGAAAGACGCACTCTCAGGGATTCTCCAATTGACCCATATTCTGGGAGCTGGTATTGTGTGCCAAGACTTGTGTTAAGAGGCAACTGCAGGAGATACAAAGAAGAGCAAGACAAAGCCCAAAAAGGATTTAGAATCAGCTGAAGACAAGGCCACTACATAATCAACTGGTATACCAAGTCAGGCGGCACCCTGATCCAGCTTGCTCCCATTCCCTGTGGGCTGCTGTCCAGGGAAGTCCAATCCGCTCTGTCACAAACCAGAAACCAGTTGCCATCCTCGACTCTTTCTGTTCCACCCCAACCCCACCCCCATATCCAACCAGCCACCAGCTTCCATCAACTCCACCTCCTGAATTTCTCGTCCAACCCCACCTCCCACCTCGTCCACTTCCTGCCTCATACCGCCATCCACCTGCCTCCCCATTCCAGAAGGTCCCGCCCTTCCACTGTGCCCTGTCCACTCTCATATTTTGGTCACGCCTGTCCCAGGTCATGCCCTCTCACCACTTCCTGTTTTGTACTTCCCATTGGCACTCCCTTCTGGCAAACTCCTATTCATCTCTCAAGGCCCAGCTCAAACCTTGCAGCCCCTGGCCCAGCTCGACCACTTCTGTCCCTGAAGTCTTGAGCTGGGAGCCCGCCTCCTCTGTGTCCTCCAACCGCACGCACGACCAAGCACCACAGCCCACGGCACCTGCTGTTGGCAACTATTCACTCGCCACCTCACTCACTATCCCATGAATCCCTTAAGGGCCGAGCTACGTCTTTTCTGTATTATTATTTGAAAGAGTTATAGAGAGGCAGAAGGAGAGAAAGGTCTTCCATCTGCTGGTTCATTCCCCAGATGGCCACAAAGGCTGGAGCTGGGCCGTTCAGAAGCCAGGAGCTTCCTCTGGGTCTCCCACCTAGGTGCTGGGGCCCAAGCACCTGGGCCTTCTTCCAGCTTTCCTAGGCCCATAAGCAGCCCATAAGCAGGCAGCTGCACGGAGCAGCCCAGACTCGACCCGGCGTCTATATGGGATGCTGATACAGCAGGCGGCGGCTTTACCGGCTACGCCACAGGGTCGGCCCCTTAACTACATCTTACACTTGTGCACAGAAAAAAAGGATTCTGCCCTGGTGGTCATTCACTTCCTGGCAAAGCAACAGAGGTGCAGCTCTGGGCGGTGGGTAGGGAAAGGAAGACAGAAGGGGTTAGTTACATAAGTCACCTGGCTCATCGGGCAGCCTGGAGGTTTTGGCTTCTCTCCCACGGAACGACAAACTCGGGTGCTTTCCTGGGGCATGGGGAGGATGAGGTAGGACAAGCAGGTCACAGCTGTGGCTGCGGGGGAGGAGGGAGGAAGCGGAGTGGGAGGCGGAGCCGGGGAACCTGCTCGAGGGGGCGGAGTTACCGCTGCTCTTCTGCTTCAGAACTTTCTGGGCCAGCGCCGCGGCTCACTAGGCTAGTCCTCCGCCTGCGGTGCCGGCACCCCGGGTTCTAGTCCTGGTTGGGGCATCAGGTTCTAGTCCCGCTACAGAACTTACAGTGATGGCTGTGACGCGAAACCCCAGGGAGCCCCCAAGTAGCACCCCGGAGAAGGAGGCTGGTGTGGAGACCACCACAGACCTCAGGACCCTCCGTGGACCCTGAAACACTTCCATTCTCAGGCCCCGGGCACTCGGCAGGGACTGTTCCTGATGGTAGCCGCTGCCTCACAGAACAGTGGTCCTAGGTGCGCACAGACCCCCAAACTCAGCCCAACGATGGGATCCAAGCCATGCGCCCCACCGTGGGTCCAGGACCACCTGGGGATGGAGAAGACCCTGGTGGGGTCTTCTCACCTGGTCAGGGTGAGACATCTTCAGACGAGTCCAGAGTTGACCAGGCCCTCTCAAGAGAGAATGAGGCTGGGATCCAGGATGGGAACCCTTTTTTTTTTTTCCATTCCATCTGCTTGCAACTGCCAGAGGGGAGCCCTGGAGTCCCAGACGGCTTTTCTCTAGCAACTTTTCCCACCATTGTAACTCGCCAGCCTTGGGGGGAGGTGAAGAGGTGGAAGAAGAATATGATGAGGAGGAGCCCCTTAAGTTCCCCATGATCTTTCGCGTGTGTCCGGTGGAAAGAAAGCTCCATCCTGGAGACAGAGGCACCGCCCCCGACCAAGGAGGATCCCCGGGAGGGTGGACACAGGGACCCCAGGTTCCCAGGTCAGCATCGCTTGAGCTGCAAACAGAGTCAGGCTGAGAAGCGCAGAGGCCTGGGACTGTGGGGAGCAGAGGAACTGTGTCAGCTCGGGCAAGCAGGCTTCCGGTGGCTCACTGGACAGCTGGCACTGGTGGGAGCGTACGTGAAAACCTGTGGTCATCTCATCTATGCATGCAGGCAGCTGAAAGGCAGTGATCTGGACCGATTTCGGGTGTGGGTGGCAGTCTAGGCAGGGCAGCTTGGGGGCTGGGCCCAGGCGATGACCCAGTCTCTAAACGGGATCTTGTACGTCGGGGCAGGACTGCGCACCCACTTTCTTAGGCTACTGGGTGCTCTGCTGCTTCTGGCTCCGGCTGTTTACAGTTGGGGTGGTGGTTTCTGGTGGGATCGGGTGACCAGTGAGGCTGGAGGGATGAGACCACCTGGCCCCGCTCTTGGCTGGATTCTCCAACCTTCCAGCGTCGCAGGCCATGGCAGCAGATGGTAAGAAGAGTCAGTGGGGTTGGCTGGAGAGTCAGTTGGTTGTCTTGGGTCAAGCAGAGGACTAACAGACAGGGGAATGCGCCCGTTGCTGGTGGGCGGTACTGCCAACCTGAAGAGGAGGTGGCTCGACCCTTGGCCACAGCTGGGGTTCCTGAGGCTGAGCGAACCCCTTTCCTGTGCTCAGGGTCGAAGCCACAGCATCGGATGTTGAACTGGAGAAGGCCTATCGGCAGCTGGGCTAGCAACCATGGTTCATCATCTCCGGGCTGAGGAGGCCTTCCAGGTTGGACGGGCAGCTCGGGACACTGTCCTGAGAGGTGGAAGGACTATGGGATGCAACGAATGGCGGAGAATGAGCTGAGTCAGTCAGTGAATGAGTTTCTGTCCAGGTTACAAGATGACTTCAAGGAAGTGATAAACAAACACTACAACGTGTACCGATGCCAAGGAGAGCGTAGGAGGTCTGAGAAGGATCAGGAAGCTGAGAGCGCCAGGTGCTGTGCGGAGTGTACCAGGCTGCAGGAAGGAGACTTTGGGGCAGAGTTGGGTCTCACGATCACCTCCTTGGCACTGATGGATGGAAAGCTGTATGACGTCACAGCTATATGATGTCACAGCTGTATGACGTCACAGAGAGCTGGATGCCAGTGAGTGGGAATCTCCCCCAGATACCCACAGAGTCCCCTATCGCATCTCGTTTGGTTCTGGGATTCCGGGCACCAGTGGGTGGCAGAAGTAGGTGTTATTTCTCTCAATATGATCCATCCACTATTGCAGTTCTGAATATGGCTTCAGATGACTGGTGTTCAGGGATGCTCAATGCCTTACTTGCCAGGAACTTTGGGTACTGACTCAGGATATGTTTCGCTCTAACTCATCTCTTGCCGTACTATTTCTTGTGTTACCTCTCAGAGCCACTCCAGATAGCCTTCCTGCTGACCTTCAGGGTTTCTTGAAGGGGCCCCCAGACCAAATGTCGAATGGGACTATCTCTGCAGCTCCTCAGCCTGGCCCTGGGGCCACTGCAGCCTCAAAACCCAACAGCATGGTGCCCAAGGCTGAAGCCAAAGCAAAACAGCAGAAGAAAGTGAGGAGCCCCCTTCAACGTTGATCCCCCCCACCCTCAAATCAATGTCAGGAGCTAAAAGGGCTGTGTACAACAGAAGAAAAAAGAATGAGATAGGACAGGTGTAGCAACAGGGAGTGGAGGAGCTGCTGGTAAACCGAGATGCTTCGTGTAAAGGCTTTCCAATGTAATTAGACACACACAGACACACAGACATATACACACAGACATACACGCACACAGACATATACACACATAAACAGAGAGACATACACACTCAGACATAGATACATACACATACATATACACACAGAGACACATGCATGCACACAGACATATGCACACATAAACACAGAGACACACACATACACATAGACATACACACAGAGACATATACACACATACACAGACACATACACACATACACACACATACACAGATGCATACATACACACAGACATATACACACATAAACACAGAGACACATACGCATACACAGACGTAGACATACACACATATACACACATACAGACACATACATGCATACATATACACACATAAACACAGAGACACACACACACAGATGTAGACATAACACACACACACACACACAGAGGCCAGAAAAGGAACACCACCTGTGTGCTGAGCCCACTGAGTGACCAGTTGGTTTTCATCTCTCCCGTAATTATGCCAGTTTAGCCTCTCTCCCGCCCAGCACACCCCCTCCAACACCATAGCATTCACTTATTTATCTTCATTTCATTTGAAAAGCTGACAGAGACAAACAGAGGTCTTCCATACTCGGATTCGTTTCCCAAATGCTGCAATAGCCAGGGCTGGGCCAGGCCAAAACCAGGAGTCTGAAAGTTCATCTGGGTCTCCCAGGTGGGCTGCAAGAAGCCAAGAACTGAAGCCACACCCTGCTGTCTCCCAGGGCGCTCATCAGCAGGAAACTGGATCGGAAGCAGAGGAGCCCAAAAACACAAACACTGCGTGCTTTCTGCCATTTATGGAAGTTGATATAGAGTATAAAGATTATGTGGCTGTCATATCATTTAGTGCTTAGCTGTAAGTATTGTCTCACTGAATCATACCATGTAAGTGACAATATAACCTTCTTTCCCCAGGTTGTGAGCCTTGTAGTGAAGCCTTCACTGTGATATTATCTAAGAAAAAATAGTACAGGGGCTGGCGTTCTGGCATACCGGGTAAAGCCGCCACCTGTGAGGCTGGCATCACATACGAGCATCGGTTTGTGTCCTGGCTGTGCCACTTCCCATTCAGCTTCCTGCTGATGGCCTGGAAAAGTAGTGGACGATGGCCCAAGTGCTTGGGCTCCTGCCATCCATGTAGGAGACCCAGATAAAGCTCCTGGTCCTGGCTTCGGCCTGGCTCCAGCCTGACTTTTGTGGCCATTTGGGGAGTGAACCAGCTGATAGAAGATCCGTCTCTCCCTCCCTCTCTAACTCTGCCCTTCAAATAAGTAAATAAATGTTTCAAAAAGAGAAAAATATGTATATGCATATGTCTACATTTGAAGTGAATGTGGCAAAATGCTAAAAATTGTAAAATAATAATAAAATGTTAATAATAATAAAAAATGTAAGGGGCCGATACTGTGGCATAGAAAGTTAAGCCTCTGCCTGCAGTGCCAGCATCCTATACAGGTACCGGTTTGAGTCCCGGCTGCTCCACTTCAAATCCAGCTCTCTGCTAATATGCCTGGGAAAGCAGCAGAGGATGGCTCAAGTCCTTGGGTCCCTGCATCCATGTGGGAGACCTGGAAGAAGCTCCTGGCTCCTGGCTTCAGCCTGGCCCAGCCCCAGCCATTGTGGCCATTTAGGGAATGAACCAGTGGATGGAAGATCTCTCTCTCTCTTCCTCCTCCTCTTCTCTCTCTAAATCTCTACCTTTCAAATAAATAAATCTTGCCGCCGCCGTGGGCTAATCCTCCGCCTTGCGGTGCCGGCACACCGGGTTCTAGTCCCGGTCAGGGCACCAGATTCTGTCCTGGTTGCCCCTCTTCCAGCCTAGCTCTCTGCTGTGGCCCAGGAAGGCAGTGGAGGATGGCCCGAGTGCTTGGGCCCTGCACCCTCATGGAGACCAGGAGAAGCACCTGGCTCCTGGCTTCGGATCAGTGCGGTACGCCAGCCGCGACAGCCATTGGAAGGTGAACCAACGGCAAAGGAAGACCTTTCTCTCTGTCTCTCTCTCTCTCTCACTGCCCACTCTGCCTGTCAAAAATAAATAAATAAATAAATAAATAAATAAATCTTTTAAAAAAATAATTTAAAATGCAAAATACAAAGAAAGAAGACAAGATTGAGACAGGGAAAAAGGGAAAAAAAGCAGAGGAGCTGGGACTTGAACCGGGCACTCAGATATGAGATGAGGACACACATGCTGGGTCTTGACCTCCACACCAAACACCCACCGCCACCATGGCATTCATGGCGGGAGCTGTGTGCAGTACGCAGCCAACGTGTGCTCCCCTTGCCATCTCAGTAATTTTTCCACAGCATCCTAGGCCAGGAGATAAATCTAAAGCCCCGTTTATGAAGTAGGTAAGTCCAACTAGCTTCATAAATATTTATCTCTTAGCCACTCAGAGTCAGCTGGGCATTGCACAACCTCCCAGGCATTAGAATCAGATTGGACGCCACCACCTTCGCTTCCTGTTCCACGTGGCCTTTGGGGCTCCCTGATCCTTGCTCTGTATCCCAGCTGCTGCAGGAAGCCCAGCCCTGCACAGATACCACGGCGTCAAACAGAATGAAATAGGATCTGCTGTTGGGACCATGGCGACCTTGAGCTTGGGGTTTGCAGGGTTCAACAAATGTCACCACTACTCTGCTTCCCCCGAAAACCTTAAGTAGTTCACAGCGCCCCTAGGAGCTCACAGGGGTGTCCTGGGGCACCTTCCCACCCAGTGTGGGAGCCGTGGGGTTCGCCAGTAAATGACAATAATGATGATACAATAATTGGCATTTAAACCTAGCTTTTAGTATCCAGTGAGTTTGATTTTTTAATTAATTAATTTATTTGAAAGGGAGAGTTACAGAGAGGTCTTCCATCTCCTGGTTCATGCCCCCAATTGCCTCAATGGCCAGGGCTGGGCCAGGCCCAATCCAGGAGCCAGAAACTCCACCCATGTCTCCCATGTGAAGGGCAGGGGCCAAAGTACTTGGGCCATCATCTGCTGCCTGTTCCAGGTGTGTTAGCAGGGAGCTGGATTGTAAACAGAGCAGCCAGGTCCTGAACCAGTGCTCATATTCTGTGCTGGCATAGCAGGTGGTGGCTGAACCCACTGCACCACAATGCCGACCCTCCAGTGAGTTTTCTTTTTTTTTTAAGATTTATTTATTTATTTGAAAATCAGAGTTAGAGAGAGAGAGAGAGAGAGGTCATCCATCCATCTGCTGGTTCATTCCCCCAATTGGCCACAACGGCCAGAGCTGGGCCTATCCAAAGCCAGGAGCCAGGAG